TCAATAGGAGGAATACGAAGTCGAAGCCGTCCTAAGTCACAAGGGAACGGGTAAACGAAGACGCTATCTCGTATCCTGGAAAGGATACTCTTCTGGAAGTAACGAATGGATTCCAGCGGAGAACATGGAAAACGCCGAAGACCTACTTTCCGCCTATAAGAAGAGGCACAAGTTGAACTAAATTGACCAGTCCCCACCGTCATACAAAACATGTCTTCCCAACAAACTACCTCCCCTACTGAATCCAATGTCTCCTCCATCAGCCTCTGTGAATCCCCCTTTGCTGACAACATTGTCAGCATTGAAGACGACGTCATCGTCGAAACCACTATCCTATCCGTTGCCCACGCCCTCGAAATCGAGACCTATCTCAACAACCAGCCAGCAGTGCCAGCTGGAGTCGCTGCCACTTATATCCATATCATTAGAGCTACCCAACGCCTCGAAGAAGAATTCGCCCAGATTGAGAACAATGCCCTCAGACTCTCCTGCAACCACGTCCAGCGGCGCATTCGCTCGCTTACGCTTCAGCTATTCCCTCTTGGTTTTAGCACTATCTGCAGGGAAATTATACAGACTGTTGCTGATCGAAACTCCTTCCAAGTCGGTCGCCCGTTGCCTCCTATTACTCACAATCCCCCCGCTGTTCTACCTGATCCAACTTCGATTGGAGGGAACACTGCACCAGTACCTGTCCCAGCGCCCAACGAGGTCTATAGAAGAAACCTCCACAACGGAGCCATCGTTCACGGTGTAACCAAGAACAAATCGTCCAAAGGAAAGAAGCGCGAGGTCATCGACCTCACCAAGGAACCCCCCACTATCCCTTCCTCCAATATCACTATCAGATCCCCCTCGTTGAAACAGGTAGTCGGCACTATTGCTGACGCCAACTTTATCTGCCGACTCTGTAAGAAGCTTGGCCACAAGCACAAGAACTGCCCCCTATACTTTTGTCGCTTCTGCGGCGACACGAAACCCGGGCACTTCTCCATCTATTGCCCCTTTGACACCAACAAGCCAGCATTCCCGTTGGTTTATACCGACGAAGGCTTCTATGACGCGTTAGCCGCATGGGAAGCGGAGAAAGATAAGAAAGAAGAAGAGGATCTTGAGCGTGCCAATAGGGAGTACTTGGTACAGCCAGAGGAGTTGGAATTCCACAATGCCGATGCCGACCCCATCTACTATGCAAACCAGGACAACTAGTGACGTCAAAGCCGGTGCCATCGACCATAACACGGGGGTAATGTTACGGCACACTAATTCTCTTCGCTTCTCCTTTGTTACCGGACAATGGTACTTAAACACAGCTGTTGATGAGCGACCAATTACTTTCCAGACTCTTACTCACATCATCGCCAAGCTGACTTTCCGTGCTAGTAACCATCACTATGTTTAGCCGATCATCTCTTATCAAAGTGGGCTGTCCACACCATGGTTACTATCTCTTATCTCTTATCGTCTACCAAGCGGGCTGTCCGCCTTCTATCTTGATACGCATTTACAAGCTCCACTTGAACTCTCGCTATATAGATACATAGCGTACCACATGTAGTTCTTCACTTTAATCTACTGGGTTTTACCTGGAACTAGTCCTTTAGTAAGGTCTCCAACCTTGCTATCTAAGAACCATCAATCTAAGGAAGTCGCCGATACTTGCCTTAGCCAGAAACCTTTGACCTCTCATTCGAGAGAAGAACCACGTCTGTCTCGCCGAATCTCAGTCCACTCGGACTAAGACAGCTCGACATACCCCAGTCGTAACAATATCCAGATAATCGAATACCTTAGGAAACCAGCTTCGTAACTGGCTGGTGATTTTGTGATAGGACCATTTACTATCGATGATAAATTGCTCAGGCCGGTCAAGGTAACAACCCCGGTTCTTCATAGCCTGTATTTCATTTCGGCCATTCTTGCTTGGGGCCTTAGGCACTCTGATGAGACTGTTTCTCTGGAAAATGCTATGAATCAGTGGGTTTAGTAGACTATTGATTGTCTTTGACTAACATCGACACCACAAGTCAATAGAGCAATTGATGCGACACGAAAAGTGTTAGCTCCGGTCGTGGAAAGGTTAGACATAGTGCTCCTGCGTGCTTGGCTTCCAATTTTACTAGGTTGCAGTGAGCTACTCATAGTATCCTTGCGATCCTAGAAGCAACTTTAGTATTCATGTAAACTAATCTTCATGCACTAGCCGATGATCCCGTACCTTTCGCAACCCAGCCAACGACACTGGGCCCTTGACCAGTTTACTGTAACCAGCAAGTCGGGTGGAAGAAAGAGTTGATAAGGCTTCCTCTCGGGCATTGGCGAGTGGTACGCCGGCTTCAGTGAGTCGCTTGGCGGTGGACGACTTTTCATTGGCACTTTTGCCACCACTAGCAATTCGGTCAAAAATATCCTTGACAACAGCTGAGGTATTTCCAAGTCGGTGAGGCTGTTCATCTTGAACTTCCAGTGGTTTGCCACTCCAAGTTGATGCCTTGCGAGGGTGTTTGCTGCGACCGTGACCACACTCCACACAGTGGCCTTCATCCTGCGACCGAGCAAAGAATTCCTCGCAGTCGCACACTTGACTGTCAGATTTGGAACCTCTACAGAAGTGCTCCCGATTCATAGCATTGCTCTCGGAATCCATGCAGAGCAATAGCACTAGTGGGAGAAGGTGGAGAAAGACTTCACACGGAAGAGGAGACAAGAGACGGAAATGACTCGGACCTCAAGAGGATGGTCAACAGGTACTAGATAGTGCGGTTTATATTTACAGTTTGAAAATTATGACATTCTGCCTGCCTTCTGGTTGACATATTGTCCAAGTAAGTATTTCAAGACTAATAACTACTACGACTCTCATAAGTTTAAGTTACTCTTGCCCAGCTGCTAAAAAGTATGACAACACTAGCAACACCTGACACCATAGCCTCGCCCGGTTGAACCAGCTTGGTTCGGCGAGAGACACATGTAGTTCCTTTGACCCTCGTTGGCCAATAGGGATAGCCTCGAAGATTGGATACTCATCACCTTCCCACTCATTTGCTGCTAGCCTGCAGTCGCACGGTGTTATATCCTCGGCTATGACTTCGATAAGGGTGGCAGAGAATTGTCAGCGTGTTTCGTCATTGATGAAAGGATTGATTTGTGATGGAACGCTGATAGCTTCGTGGTGGATATGGTGTCGTTGTTGATTATTGATAGCCTGTACCATATTTAGAGGCTCCTCTTCATTATCACTTTCTTCTTCGTCAATTGGATGCCCCGCTCCACTCTGATGTTGTTGTCGAGTCATAGTAGGGCCATGTACCCCGTAGTGTTCTTCGATCATGTCAGGGTGGACCCCTTCACAGTCGTATCGATACACGCCAAACTGCATTTGACCTAAAAAACGTAAATCCTGGGTCACAATGAGATAATTTGTCAGGGTCCCATAAATGTAAAACGACGCATTTACCTTAGGGCTCTTGTCATTGGTATCAGGACCACGTATCGGATGACAGTTCCATTCCGCCCGGAAATCCGAACAATCTTGATTGATTTCATCGAGGAACAGAGTCTGGAGCAACCAGATATGACTAGGGCTGTGAGGGTTGAGCCCGTGATGGTTTTCAAGTTGAGTGAAAAATGCTCTCCACCTCCTAGCAAACTGCGTGCCAACTTCAACCCATAGATGCTCGATCCGCGAATTCCATGTAGAACTTGTCCAGAATTAGTACCTAACATAAAGCTGCAGAACAAACACATTACGACTCACGATCCCCACATGAAGGATGCACGACGTGGTCCATTTCGCATTATCATATACGTTGCGACATCGAGATTCTCTCCTCCACGATCTCCTCGCACGCGAGAAGGCATTCTGAAGTTTTGCATTGCGTGAATGAACAGTTCCAAAACTGTGCTGGAGCGATTGTTGTTACTTGCGCTCAGTCCCATTATCTAATAGACATATAAATTAGAGTCAGTAATCAATGCAAATGCGTTAAAAAACACATCGCACCGTTCTACAAAACCTGTCGATGAATCCGTGAATCACAATCCCCCATCGAATTAACTTATGGTGGCCATCTACATGCCATAATGCATTGGGGCGCTTCACATGGTATTTCCGTCGACGTTTGACCTGTCGATCTCGCAGGACTTGGCCTAAGCCATCAACCCTGCGAAGCGACTCTACTACTCGTCGATGTTGCACCCGGACACCATGTCTGCGAAGATACCCAACAATGTACCGGATACCTGAATCGGGTCGCTTTTTCTTGAACTCCTTGATGAGGAGATCAAGATCAGTATTGGTAAGATCGGAGTATTTTCTTTCAACTCAATTGTGCTTCATATACAGTCGCAGCGTGTTTCTGTGGACTCCTAACATTTTGGCAAGTTCCATAAGTCTAATTTGATGTGAATTCGAGACCGCTTCGGAAAGGAACACAATGTCGATGAGTTTTTTCGGACGACCTGGACAACCTGTATGCAGCAATGACACTGGTTCTGGAAATGCAATGTTGGTGTCCATTCTGGGATTCACGCATAGTCAACAATCATTCAAAATGAGATAATACGACTTACGAATTTCGAGTATTGTGTTGAAACGATGACAATTGAACAGAGAATCTCCTAGCAAGGTTGCTGCACAAGTCAGCCAATCATGCATCTCATGTCCCTGCAGGTCATGTGCAAGGGCTTGAAGCAGGGGTATAGCATCTCCAGATACAGCCTCTAAGTGAAACATAAGTTGAAGGGGGTCGGCATCTTCTTGATGCAGAATATGATAGGCACGTCGGTATATATCTGACAATGTATCGTGAGCAGTAAGAAAATTGGCTGACCATGGAGCTTGAGTTGGCGTGCGAGATGGAAATGGCGGAAATGCCTGTGGTGGTATAGGCATCACGATTACTGCGGAAACGAGATTTAGAATGAATCGGCATTCAATAGAATCATAGAGTAGCGTACAATGACAATGTATCAAACCTGTGAGAAAAATGGTCAGTGGTCACAAACATAGGCAGTCAAACTATAGTTTGACTGCCTTCGTCTAATTTCAACTTCCTGCTAATATGTCGACAGAGTTTGTTGTACCAACCCGACACCTGATTTATTACTTTAATGCGTCCAGCCACATCTTCCAGGTGATTTTTATTCATCTATCAAATTATCGTACTAATTTGAAAACTTTCCATTGACAGGTAGAGAATACACTATACAAACTCTGCAGTTCAATCTTATCCGCATCTTCCAATGTCTTTCGTGATATGTTTTCTACCATGGAGAATTCTAGGCAACCAGAAGTAGATGGCATGTGTGATGATAAACCCATTCACCTTAATGGAATATCTCGGGAGATGTTTGAGTTGTTTCTTGAATTCATGTTTGGAAGGTATGTTGATATTTTATGTTTTTAGTCAGTAACTGAACCATTTGTCATGGTAGAATGCATACTGGATCTCATAGCATCGATGAACTCTCGAAATTTCTCCGTTTCTGCGACATGTATCAATGCTCCCATGCATGTGAATTCATTATTTTCCGCATATCTACCGCACGCTACCGTTTCCACCCAGCTAAGTTAATCAACCTCGCCATCAAATACCACGTCCGCTCCATCTTTCCATATGCTTTCCAGCAACTGGCAGAAACCCCAATTACCGAGCTCACTCATGCCCACCGGGAGTTGATGGGCAACGAAGTTTTTTTGAATGTAATTTACATTCAGGCTGCGCTTGATAGTCACCGCCGGATCGTAGCTGCGGAGGAACTGAAGATCTTGATGCACTCGAATAAGTGTCAAGACCCAACTGGTTGCAATGAGGACTGGCACGCAATTTGGTGGAATGGTATGGGCCGTTTTCTTCTTGATGGTAGGATCCCACAGCCGTACGACGACATCGTCAAACGCTTCAAGGAACTGCAGTTTGGATGTGTCAGTGAAGGATGCAAAGACCTCATGTTCAAGATTCTCGATCAGGGAGCGGCATTCAAGCACGCCGAACAATTTCTTTCTGAGACTTGCAGCTTCCTAGTAGAGAAACTGGTTTTCGAGCCTGCATCAGTAAATCACCGGGCTCTGTCCAGATCTGGACAGCGCGCCATGTGCACAGCTTGGTCCCTTCTAGCTAGTTCACTACAGTAAAACTATTTCTGTCAACCTCTGCACAGACCCTCACAAACCTGCCTAGTGAGGACCAAATAGGTCTTGAATATCATCATTTTTCTGTCTGTCTGTACAGATCTGTCCATGTTCATGCAGATATTCACAAACCACTCAGAAGTTCACTCGGCTCAGGTACAGTAGCTCATTTCTGTCTTGTCTTGTACAGATCTGTCCATGCTTGCGCAGATACTCACAAATGACTCAGAAGCTCACTCGACTCGGGTACAATAGTAGCAAACAAATGACGATAAATTCAATCAGCGGGAAACACGATACTAGCAGACAACGAGCAAAAGATAAAAGTAAATATGCAAGAATATGATGTGTGACAATTGACAGTGCCGGGAGATGGGAGACTCAATCAAGTTGGACGCGCAGGTGGTGATGTTTTGACATGTCAACGCCGTCGAGTTTCGATGCTTCTGCCCTGGATGAACTCATCAGTATCGAATGCTATGTAAAAGCTTCCTTACTATCCAATCTTGGCCCATTCACGGAGTTGCTGCACCAGCTTTGGACCGTGATATGGGTCTTTCATGACGGCATCAAGTAGCTCAAGCATCGAATGATAGATGGACTCGTACTCCTTCGAAGTAAATTTTGAATAAGACTTGCCATTGCCATTTTTCTTGAGGCCCTGGAAGACGCAATGAAACTGAAAGCAACATGTCAGAATGTTGAAACGTCAATATCCCGGACGTACCACGGTGCAAACGAGAGCTAGGCATTTTAATGGAACCTCCTTCTGAAAAATGGCTGGTCGCCTGTAAGCAATGCGATAAGACCCAGTATAGTAAAAAAGAATGATGCCCTGAAGAAGCGCAGGGTGAGCAAAGTTCTTGGTTTTCCCCAATTCGTCGACTCCGTGGCGGAGAAATCTACCATTGTCCAGTAATTCTGCGGTGGCAACCTCAACGCAAGCTGCGCGCTCTTGAGCGGGAATGTCAGCTGGCGGGGAAAGACTGTATGCAGAAGGCGTAATGGAGATGACATTTTTTTCAGATCAGAGTGCCAGGTTGCCAAGTCATCATACAGCTAGAAAACAAATAAGATATGAAGCGCACCACAAAAAAGATATACACACCAGTCTCGCCATGTCAGGCTTATGAGCAGGCCACACACCTGGTGGATACCCCGAGTCAGTAGAATATCTGGAGGGAAATAGTAGCTTACCAGCGTCAACTTGTTGGCCGTTTTTTTTAGCCATTGCACGAGAGAGGCTGAGAGTGACTCTGTGATCGAAACTGGCAGATCATGAACAAGGCTCGGGAAAGGGTTCTCCAATGCCTGCTGAGTATGACACTCCGCCTTCACATCCTCGAGAAAACTCTTCCAGCGTGGACCATACCAACCCAGCTGGGTGGCCTTTGGCCCTTCATCATCGGATCCATCGACCACCTTCAATTTATGTTTCGATGTCTGCTTCCGTTTCCATTTCACCTTCGAGTTGGAGGTATCGATCTCAGCAACACGGAGAAGCTCCAGGAGAGCGGGATCAGGAAGTCGGGGGTGGCTGTTTCTTTTGTGATGAAGCTTCAGAATGTCGTTCAGCTTGAACAACAGATTAGCGTACTCCAAAAGAGTAGTAGACTTATACCTGGGGGGCACTCTTTTAATTCATTGCCGTACCATCATCGCTCAAATCCTTGCTCAAATCATCACCAACTCCCAAAATGTTTTCAGCTGCTTCATCACCTTCGTCACAAGAGTGCTGAAATTCGAAATCTGTTGGAAGAGCGGTGTAGCACTCGAGCTCGCGCTAGGCTCGTATTCACTGATTTCCCAATATACGTTCAATGCCCATCACTATCTGATGTAACCCGCACAACCCGACGCAAACCCGACACTTTGACTAGCGGACCCGACGTTTCGGCCGCATCGGACCCGATATTTTCCTGCGCACTTGCCCTATCCGTGTCCCATCCTGTCCTGCTAGCCCCACTAGGTGCGTAGTTGATTATTTCACACATTACTCACGTCATAGCAAGCGCTATTACATGTTTTCCCATCATCCGCAGCGCCTCATGTTAGTTTACATGTACTTCGGACCCGAAATCGTCGGCCGCTACTTTCGCCTATAGGGTTCCGTATTTCTATGTACTTATATATATATTGGACTGACTATGAGTATTTTCATCATCCAAGTAGTAGGGAGCCGTTCCCTGATACTTAGTGGTCAAACCCAATATTTCGTAGTTCTTAGTTGACATTGCGAATATTACCGCTCTTTCTATCCGAAATACCCGTCGTTATCATATATCCGCATACTGCTCGCTTTTCCGACGTTCGCTGACGCCATTCCCGCTAACCCACTAAACCCGAACCCGAAACCCGCTAACCTGAAACCCGAAAACATCGGACCCGACACTTTGGCATCGGACATCGTAGATATACCTTCGGACTTTGTTTCCCGCGCTCGGACTTTTGACCGTTTTATCATTTCACTAACTACAGACCAATCCAATAGCTAACCCCTCGGGTCGAACGCACTTGTCTTGCAAGTAAAGCAGACTAGGCTGTGCATGACCACAACATTTTTATATCGCTGGCTACTCACTTCGTGTAGTGCCCAGCAATTGTTGTATCTCTACAGCGGTGACCACCTGAGGTTGAGGTGGTGAGCCTTCTCTCGGAAAACCTGTTGCTTTTCAGCTCAACCTGAACGTAAATAGGCAGCGACTTACCAGGGTGTGTACTATGACACCTGTGAACTTCTCCCCAACCAATTTGCTTGTCCCCACTACTTTCATCCAAGCCAGATGAATCATCTTTCGATGTGTCAGACTGTTCAGATTCTATACTTTGTGGTACAGGCAGCCGGAGGGCAGGATCTAAGTTCTGGTAAAAGTTCACATCCGGTAGCACCGCAGATGAATTGGTCCCAGAAAGTATAGGATCCTGGACGCTATGAGTAGCGACAGGAACCTGAGGTTGGGATATGTTAAGAGTAGTAACACGAGTTTGACTTAGAGAAGAATGGGAATCGGGCAGGGCGTGTGCCTTCTTGGCTGCGGCCACAAAGGAGTTGTTCAATGCTTGAAGATCTGGCTCTGTACCGGCAGGGACAATCGGTGGCGAAAATCTGTATTGTCCCCCAGCTTCTCGCTGCAAAAAAGTCGGCTGATGGTTGAGTTCGAAGCTCAGGGCAGAAACAACAGTATCCTGCATATATGAATTAATATGTGATCGTTCACACTGTAAAAACTCACCTTGTTTTTCTTCGAGCGTGATTTCAGAGTCGTGGTGTCCGGTTCCACCGAAGGGCTATATGGTGGAGGGGGTTGTTTCTTCTATGTCTCTTTAGTATTGTTCAACATGAACAAAGAGAAAAGATATCTTGGAACGACTCCTGCAACCCTTGCGAGTCGGTTCAGGAGTGAGAGGGTTTGCAGGAGCATTCAGATCAAGGGAGGTGGCACCCTTGGATTGGCTGATCTGCACTGGAGCATGCAAGATATCGCCTAGTTTCTCCAGTTGAGCTCCCCTACCTCCTGTCCCTGCACCTGGGCGTCCTGATCGTCGAGGAGGCTGTGAATCAGCTCCTTGATCGAGAATCGATGCAGACGGTGCATTAGCCCGAGCATGCGCTCTTTTTGCTGGAGCTGTTTGCCCTTCGAGCGCCTTGAGATCAGAGTCTGTAGCTTTGCGCTTCGTTCTCTTTTTCTTAGGGCTTCCAGGCATGACTAGCGAAGGGGGAGAAATGAGCCACCGTAACTATAACTTACTGATACTCACTTTTAAATACAATCCACCATCGCAGCTTGAAAAGCGCTTGAAAATAACTGTAACTAAATACGTCATTGGACAACTTGAAGCGCACCAAATGTAATACACCGCAGCCTGGGGGTCGCGAATGGGGTTGATGAGAAGCTAGCCGAGTCCAAGAGTCTCATATGAGGAGTCAGTCAGTCAATAGGCTGGGAGTAAACATGTGTAGTGAGTGCATCAAGTAGGAGCTGAGCGTGAGATATCATATTATGACTCAAACTTTGCGTGAGAATATCTCAACAAACGGTACATGGGAGGGGGTATCACTCTATGGACGAAGGTATTAACTATCACGATTGTAGTAAATGTAGATATATTATGTAGTTCTGCTCCGTTTGGACTGGGGCATAACTTCCATTGTCCAGCCCATCCAACCATGAATCTGGTTAGTATGTTCTGTAATTGATGGTTGGTCGAGATGATCATCATCCCGATCATCATCCTCAAAGTCACTTGCCTGTCTCTTTTTCAGCAGTGCTGCAATAACCCTCTTTGCAAACAGAAGCTCGGGGAAAGGCTAGTTCTTCGGAAGCGTGGCAAGATGTGTTTCCAACAGATTGAGGACCTCCTGGAAAGTTACTGCATTCAACAGTCCTTTGTTTCTGATCAGGTGGTACCATTGTGTTGCAAGTGGGAGTAGCGTCTTGAAGTAGGGGTGGAATTGTTTCTGGAGTTTGTGTGCATTTGGGTGAAAAAAAAACAAAGTCTTCAAATCACCGCCTGCTTGTAACGTGCCGGCGGACCATAGATGTGGTAGCCATTCTTGACTCCTATCAGCTGAGAGATCATGTCTAACTCCAAGAGGACCCCTGGATTCAATGCAGATGCACACCAAGACGTAAAAAAGCAACTCCAAATCATCATGGTAGTGATGTTGGATGAGGGGGGGCGGTTTTGCAAGGGAAGACGTGGCAACCTTCACCTTCCAGCTGTGAGCAGATGTTGCAGGGTCGCCCACAGCCTCTGAAAGCTGCCACAGAAGTGAATGTGACATGAAAGGCAATGTGCCCTAATATTTGCTGTGAGCATGAATTCTTGTAGAAGATAATTAGTACTGACCGTCCCACCGATAACATATTTCTGGCCAGCATAGATATGCACTGCGAATTCCCAATCAATCAAGAGTCCGTGGGTCCCATCGCCGTCATCCTCGATCATAGCATTATTAAGACTACAATCACAGTGAAGAATTCCACGATCCTCGACTGCTGTCTGTTGAACTGAGAAACATGTCATTAGAACACAGAGTGGATTAGGACATAAACAAATACATACTTTTGACGATGTCCTGAAGAGCACTCACCAGCTCTACTCTTGTCTGGAATGCATGCAAAGGTCGCGTGCGAGGCTTCAAAACCAAATGAACATGCATATGAGAGGTGCCTCTGATACTTCCCAAAACCTTGTATCAATAGTTCATCGTTTCGTCAACCTCATTGGGCGCGATTTCGACAAGCCAATACTCGACCAGTTCTGGCACACCACAGACCCCTTGCATCTCCCGCAGCATTTTAACCTCGTTCAACACAACATCTTTACCCCCAAGGACCCAATGGTCCTTGATGATGTATTCTTTATCATCCCTCCTGGCTAAATAGCACACAGTACCACGCCCAACGAGCCCCTGACTCGAGAATATGAGTTCGAGAATATCATATGCGTGGTCGTTGACTATGATCCTGCTGATCAGGGTTGAATAAGTCGCACAAAGGGGATCTTGGGGTATTTCTAACTGAGGGGGGTCTATAGGGAGGCTTTCCTCTAAGTCCGAGCCCATCTCCACGTCTAAGTCTATCCCCAAATCAGACTCAGGTGTTGCAGTGCCTCCGATCTGACCTCCTGTCTGGGAACTGTTCACTTGAGCTTGTGCGGGTGGTTTGTTCATAGAAGGGCGAGAAGTTGGATTTTTGAGTTGAGCGGGGCGAAGCGTCTTTGTGAATATACTGATGGAAGGATTGTACCCAATACACTCAAGACTACCGAAGACGACGCTGGATAAGATTTGCAGGTAATGATTTGGAGCATTGTCGATATGGATGGGAGGCGTCATGACACCACCTGCATGGTCGTACATGTG